GTGTGTGTGTGTGTGTGTGTGTGTGTGTGTGTACAGACAGCCAGGTTCATAATGGATATAAGGAAGATTTTCCAAAGAAAGGAGCCACGTCAGCAGGAATAACGTTGGATCAGTGTTTCTATCTTTTATCAGATGTTCGTGTGGTTTGTTATTTGCCTTTTGGTTGAACGTAAACTGAGAGGACTTTTTGTTATTGATCTTAATAGAATTTTTTTCATATTAATGTAATTTTTCATCTAATTGAATCTATTTGTGTGTGATTGTGAGTCCAAAGAGGGAACGTGAGGAGAAAGGTCAGGAAGAACCAAACTTTTTACAGTGTGGACCACCTGATAAAAGGTCAAGCTCTCCCAAGCACCACCATGAAAGCATGAAACTCATAAATCTGACAACACAAAATTAGCATCTGCAGTAAAGATGTTTTCATGCATTCTACCACAGGCAAAGTTGCCTCCAGTTTTATAGTTTTTATTAATATTTTGTAATAATTTCTTCTGTTTCGGGAGTGTTTTTATGTATCTGTATTATATTACACACACACATTAAAAGTGAATCTCTGTCCAAAAAATGCTCTCAGTTTACTTTTCACTCACTGTGAGCATCATTCATTATTCTCCCAGTAATGAAGGTTAGGATATGTATTTTTATTCCAATCCATTCTTCGTTTGCAGCATTTAAATAACCTTGATCAGATTTGATGGTTTTGTTACAGACTTTAAAAAAAGTGTTTTTCTTTTCTTTCACAAATGTGGGATTAAATTGTGTTAAAATGTACAAAACAGTGATGTCATGTTTTGTGACGAGGACCCAGGCAGAGAGACCTGATGAATTTAAGAATCTTATGATTTAATAAAGAAATTTGCAGACTTGCACAGAGATGGTAAAATTATGATGACTGATAACAGAGACGAAGACAACAGACGGTGAGGACAGGGAGGAGCAGGGGTTTAAATGCACCGAGGAGACATTCAGAGACAACTCGGGACAACATTTAAGGACGCAGGGACTGACAGAGACAGGGACGACGTCTCATCGTGACGCGTAAAGTTTATCTTGCCTGGCTGGGCAGCTCTCTGGGTGCTCAGAACCCCCACAGCTCTGATCCTAGAATCGCCCCTACTTCAATCATGAAACTGATCAGTGATCAGCTGATCGTCTCTCGTTTGTTTATTGTTCACTTTGCAGCAGAAAGAGGAAACCAGCAGCTGAACAACAGCAGCATGTTTAAGCTTGATCAGCTGTTGTTAGAATGTATTTATTATTACTTTCTACACCAGGATCTTTTTCTACAGCTGACGCTGGTAACTGTGCAGGGGCGGATCTAGCAAGTTTAGCCAGGGGGGCCGATAGGGCATGAACAGGGAAAAGGGGGCACAAAGACATACTTTTCTTTCTTATTCTCATTTAAAATGTCGAGCTTTTAATTAATTATCTGAATCTGACACCCAGAGTTTTAATCTGATGCAAAATGTATAGAAGTCCATTACTGTAGTAACTGTTGAGTCTAATATACCCTAGTAAGCTAGAGTACTTTTTCCATCTGTGCAGTTCTGCTGAAGAAAGATGTTGAATCTATTTAATTATTCTTGAAAAATAATTTATTTCTGTGCATTTTCTTTTTTAAACGTGCATTAAATTAAAGTTGATTTCATCAGTTAAGCATCACGAGGTGGAGGGTGGGGGTGGTTCGGTCATTTTTGGGGGGGAGGGGGGTTTTGCAACCCTATTAGTTAGGTTGCTTAATATTTCAGCTAAGTACTCTTTAAAACACCAGAATGGGGAGGATGGAGCAGGTTTAAGTTTATTAGATTGATCAGTTTTGCTGAACTATGAAATATTTTGGGTGCAGTGTGTTTTTTACATACAGGTGTAACAGGATAGCTTTAGTGTTTGTTTGTTTATTTAAACTTGAGTATGAATTTGTTGTTTTTCCATAACTTGTGTATCTGCAAATATACACATTCTGTATTTTTCATATGAAAGAAAGAAACTATACTGTGGTGGGGCTTGCTAATTTCTTGTTTTTGATTTATGTATGTTATGTTTTAGGGGCAGCACGGTGGCACGGTGGTTAGCACTGTTGCCGCACAGCAAGAAGGTCCTGAGTTCAATTCCAACATCAGGCCGGGGTCTTTCTGTGTGGAGTTTGCATGTTCTCCCCGTGTTTGCGTGGGTTCTCTCCGGGTACTCCGGCTTCCTCCCACCGTCC